CAGAGTACAAGATTTTTCTCACAAAAGATGAAATACAGCATCGCTACCAATGTGAAAAGATGTTCGATTTCAATTTTGGAATGCGAATACCTTTTGCCGATGTGGAATTCGGATTGCATCGGGAGAAAAAAAAGCAGACGTCACAGAATATTGAAACTGTCTTTACTCTTGCTCAATATGATTTATCGCGTGTGACTTTTCATCTCGATGAGGATATGGTAAAGCTGAAATCGGACTTTATTGTAGCAGTTGATCGTATAATTCAAAGTGGAGACCCTTCGAGTAGACAATATGAACGACTGTGCTCTCTATTAGATGACTATGGTCATTATTACCCACAGACAATCGTTCTAGGAGGTCAGATCTGTTGCACGATGACTGAAAAAGTGGAGGAGTTATTTGACGAACAGGAATACAAATCTAAAATAATGAACGAATTCCAATTGGCTTTAGAGCAAGCAGCACTAGGCAGTAGTTTCATGCAAGGAAAAACCAACTCTGTCCTACGTCAAACATATTGCCAAACTCGATTCGAACGGTTTACGATTATAGGTGGAAATAATTTGGCAGATAACCTAGCAGATTGGCGTGAAAGTCTCAACAATATAAACACATGGCGTGCTATTGAGTATCAAAATTTGAAACCTTCTTACAGTTTACTCGATGCGAATCGACAAGAAAAAGTCAATCTTATCCTCCAAGCTCATAATAATTTACACCTTCCTCCACGACCACCTCCCGAAGAACTTTACTTTCGATCTGAAGAGGGTATTTATGTAATAGAAGCTCAGTGCCAATATGAGCATGCCACATCAAAGCAAACATGGCATTTTTTCTATGCTCCATCAAACAATCAATGGATTTGGAAGCGAGAATTCGATTCAAATGATCAATGGTCTTCTCTTCGATTGACACAAGTCGATATCGTACAAGATCCGACTGTCCGCAGTATTATGAATATTCTGCAGAATTCGAATGTACGGCTACCCGACGATCATCTGGCGATTTCCCGAAAATTTGAAAGACGCTATAAGACCAGAAGCATCTTATCATATCTTGGCGTGGCAGCTAACGAGATTCTTTTGACAATTGCTACGCATTTATGAATTGTTTCTGATCTTTGTTGTACATGTATATGATATGTGATACTTTTTTGTGGTTAACTGTAAGGATATTGTAATTCTTTCAGTTTCGATTATTCTTCCACAATAATTTAAATTTATTTAAAAATTATTTGATTTACGTACGTTTTGAAATTATCAACATTCATCTTCAGTTTTTTTTTACAATAAAATACACGAGAACAAAATGACGAATGTAGCACTGTTTATATTTCTTTTGTCGGTCTCCTATGATGCTGGTATGAAAGACGAAACAAGATGGTAATAATTTAGGCGATGAGTTAAAGTTCGTCTTCTTTCAACGAGTAACATCGAGTGTGGGCGTGGATATGAATCTTCGTTACATCCACACTGATACCCTACACCTACATTCCACGCTCACACCCACACCCACAATGTTTTCTCCGCATCCACCATTTCTGTGAAACATTCTGATGGATTCGACCGAGTCGTTGTTAAATGTAACAGAGCCCCTATTTTGGTTTCTATGATTTCTAGCTTATGTTTTATTGAGTAGAGTTTAGCTAGCTTAATAGAATAGTTATAAGAATAGAAATGTAATGCGTATTGTTAGAACGTGTGGAATGTAAACTAGAAACTTTCAAGTGAAACTGGAAAATTGACAATGCTCCAATGATCGTAGTTATTTTTCTTCAGATGAATTTGATGCATCGTTCATGCCGGTATAATATCCATCATCTTGTGCTTCGTCAGAATTGACACTTGAGTCATCATGTTCCTATGAGTCAAAATAATAACGAAACATTAGAAAAATTGTAGTTTTTCTCATTCTAATCCATTCGTATTACAAAATTGTAAATTGCATTCAAATTTTAAACTGGAGACGAACCTTCTTCTGTTCAATTATATGCATGTAATTACTTGGTATCACTGGTAGAAAGCATTTTAGCATTCAAATGATTATATGATTGGTGCTCTCATTGGAATTAGTGCTAACACTATCACACCAGTTCTCTTAAAACTGATAAACTCCGACACATTTATTACCAAAAGACCCGACTTTTTCCATCGCGGTAAATATATTTCTATAGGTTGCCTACTTATTGAATTGGTTCCAATTTACTCAGACATACTCATTTTTCCCTTATGATCATTTTAAGTAAAACTGTATTCTCCACATGTTTTTCCTCACATCAAATTATATCTTTAAAAAGATTTCTTAGTCGAGAACATAGTACGTTGGTTATTTTCTTTTTATCATTTTCTTCTACATTTCATATTCATCAGGTTATTAATGGAAGCATATATAGGTACGATAGTATTTCATTTAACGGGAAAACTTACAAAAGAAATGCCGAAATTGGTCGAGAATTGAGCACCGTTATTGAACTCTTTGTTCCAACCTAATCCAACATCATAGATTGGGTCGATCTCCAGACTCCTCTCCATATTTCGAGGAGGGAATTTTTATAAAATGAACTAATATTTTTTAGACTAGAAACTTATATGGTTCATGCCAAAGTTGTTCGAGGTCGCTGCGCCTAGACCCAATGATGACTTGTCAGAACCTTGGTAGATCGGTACACCAATGGCTACTTGTCCCTAATCTTGCCAGTTATTTAAACTACGTCCATCACCACTACCAAACAGTCAGTAAGTTGTCTGAATCAAATCAAAATGTAGACTACAAATAGAAGTCGATGCACCAAGCGCAAACAACTTACTCGACCTGATTGAGCAGCTTCTAAAGCTAGACTATTAGCCCTGTTTTACATTTGTCGACGAAGTCGAGGCATATCGTGAGCTGATATAATTAAAAATAGAAGACTAAGAATCATTCGGGAAAATATTATTGCCATTGATTTGTATATGCTTGCGATGTGTAATGTACGTGTTCTGTCAACTTTATAGCACTCAAAGTAGGAAGTCGATGATAAAAATTTCAAAGGTCGAAAATAATTGTTTTGAAAGGTCAAATGTATAAATTTTCAAAGATTAAAAGTGATGCTCTTAAAATTCAACTAGAAAGATTAATACCTTGATAAACAAGTAATACGTGAATGACGCAATGAAAAGAGAAAAATCAAATGGCAAAATTGATCAGACTTATGTGAAATATGATACGTTGGTTTTTTCCTAAATAGATTTCTTTCATGATTATATCATAGTTTTTTTTTATTGTTCTTCCTGACCTAAATCTTTCTGGAGAGTAGAATTTGATTTACTCATACCAGATTTTCTTGTTTCATGTGGATTCATTGTTTGTTCTTCTCTATTTCAATCTATTTCGTCTTCATCTCAACTTGATGTAAAGTGTTGTGAGTGTGTTGCTATGCAGTTAGTCGATATATGTCACTTCCTCTTTTCTTATCATTTGATAGATTATGATTATAAATATTCTCTTCACCCACATCCACCTATAATCTTTCGCACTCAAATATTGCAACTATATCGAAACGTAGAGTCATCAGCTTTATCATTTTCTGTTTTTTTAGAAGTTAGTGAGCTTATTTATGGATCATCGTGTTATTCAAGTTACATAATATGATTGTTGAAGTTATTTTATTCAAACGAGGCAATGCATGAATAGACACTGATCAAAAAAGGTTGGAAACTTAGGATAGAATGGATTCATAGGGACACCAAGCAGGAATTGCTTGTCTGATCTTGTACTGTGATGATATTTTATTTTTTTCCAGGCTGTACCCATGGTCCTCTTGCTCAACGTGAACATCGACAAATTTTTTTGCGATCACAATAGCTCGTTGCACAATTTTGTACTACACATGATGCAACACATGCAGCATGTCCACCATACTGACATGAATAAGCTTCGGTTTATTGAATCACTACAACAATGAAAAAAAAGATACAACCCATTGTAAAACGCTCAACATCGATTGAACTTACTGGATGATAAGACAAATATTGATAACACAATGACCACAATAGTGAATAACATACGCATCTTTCTTTATAAAATGGTAACAGTAAAAAAATCAGTATTTCTCATGTTAACAATTGATATTCACATTAGTATTCACGCACAGTTGGTTCGAATGAATGTGTTTAAGACTTCACGAAAGCTGCATTAAGACCGACTGGTTAATTAACGTGTTGCGCCTTCGTTTGTATATACCAGTTACTTCCTCATGGTAGAAGAAACAATTTACTCTTGGTATTAATGAACCATGGAACTTGTTGATTGCTTGCAATTGATTCTTGGTCGTTTCTGTAGCATACAGAAAAACCAAATGCTATATCTTTCGCTTATTTCATGAATAACGAACTACCGAGAAAGATGCTTAACAGAGAAGGCGATGCTTTCTCTTTCGTTTTGTTCATCGATATCACGTCTGTGCTACAATAACTGATCCCTTGGTATCTATCAAAAAGAGGGTAGGTTGTTGCTACGACGTAGGTGACATGAGGATTAGGGCATGTGTATTCGTTTCTCATACATTTGCATTCCCATCCATCTTTTTTGCACCATTTCCCCTTGTCAGAACTGGTTAGAGAGTTGCAGAAGATAGTCTAATGTTTAGATTCTTCCTTCCAATGTGAGTGTAGATGTGACTGAAGGTTTGTGTCGGTGGGTCTAAATAAGGAAAAGAGAAGATCAACAACCACACTCATAGCAATACCCCCACCCTCATTTTAGTGCAAAACGAAGGTAATCTTCAGAATCAACTCATCGAGTTGCGTCGAACCATATATAATACAATGCGTCTTTGTGGAAAAAATCTTTTGAGTATTACGCTAAAAATATTCCTAAACATTGGCTTTCTCAATTTTGTAAACATTACAAACAGCTCCAATCGAATTCCCTACAAACTTGGGTGTGGGTGTGGGTGTGACAAAGTTGAATACTAAGATCCATATCCACGCCCACACCCTATTTTTCTTGTTTGTTTCTTTTGCTTGTAACATCTGTTATTTGTCTTGGTATAGGTTGAAAATGATCGTTTAAGATCGAAGATTCTCGTAGATATATTAAAACAAAAAATAAGTCATTTAAAATTATACTACATAGAACTTATGTTCATTAATTGATATAAGTTTTACGATGCTACTTCTGAAAAAAGGTTTATTCACTAACGTAAGAATGAAAAAGTATTCCAGTAATGTGTTCTGTCACGTCATCATTTCACAACGATTTATTTTTTATATATCAAAAGAAAAAGAAAAAGAAAAAAAAATATATATATAATCTGTTAAACCAATACTGACTAAACCATTTTAAAAATATTAAATGATGAAAACATATTTGTATTTAATATCATTTATTCTATTCTATTATTACGGTGAATGTGCACAGCCATATTTTCCGCCTCAAATTCTATTTTTTGCTGAGAATACATTATATGCAATTGATGAAATTAATCAACGAGCTTATAAATCAGCTTCTTCCAGTGTAAAACAATCAGAAACGGGTTATGCTCTCAAACATTTCCCTTTTGCAATTCCTGGTTCACCACAATCAAAATATTATGTTCAATTATTAGAAGGTTTTCCCAATATTGGTTGTATTTATGGAACATATTGGAAATATGGTGGAAGTACATTTAATGCATTTCCTTCACATTGGAGTAATGGAACTTCATTTGAAATAAAAAATTTTATGGACTTTAAATATGAAATGATACGTTCGAACGCTTCTTCTGTATACGAAGATTATTGGTATTCAAATGTAACATGTCACCCTGAGGGTCCAAAAAGTGTTCCATGTGAAGAAATTTATTTTCGAAAAAACACAGATATTCCTGTTCGATCAACTCAAGTTATTAGTACTCCATGGGAAGTTCGACAATTTACAACAACTTATTTAGTAATATCAGTAGGAAAACCAGATGACAAATACTTTGACTCAATTCCAAAAGATTGGGCTCGTACTTGTCAAGATGTTATGTTGGGAGTTTCATATAATCCACAATCTACAAAAATAGATTTAAATAAAAGTGCAAAAGTTCAAATTTGGCTTCCTACACCTCCACATCGAATTGATGGAAATGATACTGTCCATATTCAATGGAAAGCAGATGAATGCACTGATTGTTTTACATGGACACCAAATCAACTTTCTTTTAACAGTGAAAATTTTCAAGTACGACAAACATTAACAATAACTCATGTTAAAAATGGACCACAGACACATCTTATTCCAATTCTTAATGGTGGAGGTTTCGATGATGTTCCAGTTAAGAATTATACCATTTTTCTTGAATAAATTTCTTCTTTTCAATCAGTAAACATCAAGCAATTTTAGTATAGAATTTAAATAAAAGTGTGTGTGAATATATTTTGATTTTTGAAATATTTTTACCATAACTTCGTCATTTTACTTAACTATCAAAAAAATAATTGTTTTTTATAAAAGAAAAAAATAAAACAGTCTCGATATAAACTAGTCACAAGTAGATTAATTATAAGTGAGAAAAAAAAACACTTGGACAAATATAAAGATAGAAAAATATTGCGATACTATAGTGTTTTTTTTTGTCAACTCATCGTTTCACGACGATTTATTTTTTATATCTAACAAGCAAATATATTTTGATAAATTTTAAGTTCTAACAGTTAGTCCAGATTCTTTATCAAGTCAAACAATATTGAACATATGGTGAAAATGCATTTAGCTCATTTCCATTACATTAATTTAATAGAAGACTTGAAATTAATACGTTTCTTTTCCAATCTTTTATGTCTCTTTGTGGTATAAATTTCAGCTGAGGTATGCGTGTAGATGCTGTCTTTATCCGCACCCATGCCACATACATCCATACACCACCAAACTGACCGTTTCTGTGGCCAAAATGACTACTTCTGTGGTACAAATGACCGTTACTATGGTGGAAATGGCCGTTTCTATGACACTAACGACTATGGCTATGACACAAATGATAATTTTATATTATTAAAAAAACTGGCTTTGCCAAAGACCTCTCCTTACATTTCAAGCCATCTCTTGCGTTTTCTAGTACACTTCTTCAAGCACGCTTATACCTAGATTTGCTTATAAGCATAACTTGATGCATCTTATATCTTGCGACTATGTGTGACCAACAATTGCATAACATTCAATAAAATGTTAAACAGTTACAGCGTAAGAAGTTCAATTATCACCTTCGCTTTTCATAAATTGTATTCTTAAACAAAGAAATATACACGATAGTGCTATCTCTTTTCATATTTTTATTCTCATATAGCAAACATATCTATTTATTCAACTTGTCACTTTCTATCTTCCAATTAATGAAACTATGCGACAAAAAAATATTACTTTTACTGCCATAATAGAAACATTATTGTCACAAAAAGAATTTCTCTTCGATCAACCAATAGAACGTATCCACAATCAGTATAAATACGAGTCAGCAGCACTATGAAACACAAAACAATCATCTTTCATTGGCTGCGCTTGCTCGAAATAAACAAATCACTTCAATTTTAATTTTTTTAAAATATCCAGATAAAAAACAGTTAATTGAATACTAGATTTCGAAACGAATTAAATGAATGCTAGCATATCCGAGGAATTTCAATTTTTATCAATCACGTTCAACTCGCTTTATTCTTTTTTTCAATGTAATTCCTATGTGACGATCCGTCACTAATTTACCTACTTTTAATCTACAATGAATAATACACAATCTTCTTACAATACAAACTGAAACGCTTCATATATATGCTCATATTTGATGAGGGTGTGAGTGAGAGCGAAACTTTGACACTCGAATTATAAAATTCAAAGAGAAGTTTAAAATTCGTAACGACTAAACGATTTCTACATTGCTGAGAAATCGACGACAAAAATTGCAAAATTCGGTTACTAGATCAATAGATGTCAATGAATAATACTCAATCTGTACAAAGTATTCATAATAATCTCATTCTCTCAGTTATTTAAGATGTGTATATATGTTTATTTGTAATATGATAGCAAAAGCAACTTTAGAAGCAGCGAGCTAAAGCAAAATAATAGTTTATTGTATGTAATGAATATGTAAGCAAAATAGCAAGATGAATAAATATAGAAAATATTCGCAAACGTAAATAGATGACATGCCACTATCTATTGATGTAATTGATGGAGTAGTTGAGATGGGCAATGTTGATAAAATCGATGAATTAAATGAATAATCCTCCCAACATTCACGTTCGAGTTGGTTGTGAGACATAGTTAAATTATCAAGTTTGATATGATGATTAAATGTGAAACAGTTAGCTAAACGTTGATAACCAAAATTCTGGCATAAACATATATGAATATCATCATAAAAGCAAGATAAATTTAATGAGTGAATTTGACATGGTAAATGATAATATTTAATGCGTTGAATGAGATGCATTTGAGTCATGTTTTCAATAAATATTTCATTTATAGATTGACAACGATCGGATGGATTAATTTTTCGAACAATCACTGATGAATATTCTACTTTTTCATTAGCAACTAAATAGTATTGAAATGTTGAAAGTTCGACAAAAGCAATATGAAATGGATATGACCAATAGCTAATAATTGAAGTTTTATTTTCACATATTTTCGTGGGATTTATATTGTGAGTATGTAGAGTACGATGAACAAAATAGATGAAATGAAAAAATACGAGTGATTGTGAAGGTAAAGTAAGATTGTTGTGAAATGAAAGAATAATTTTGTTATCAGGTACTTCACATTTTTGTCCATAGAATCCTTTTCGACAGATGCATATATATGGTTGATGAAATGCACTATGTTCATCAGAAGGTATACATACGCCTCCATTTAAACATGGATCGTCTTGGCATACGGTTTTAGTTAATAAACATTGAGAACCAAACTTGTTAAAAGGACATACACATATCGATCGATTATTTGCTGCAACACCAACACATAATGAATCAGATGAACAGGTACATATATGAGGAATAGTGCAATATCGTCCAGTCCAACCTGATTTACATTGGCAAAAACTAGTCTTTTTCAGATCATTTAAATATTGAATACATTGACCATGAACACATTGATGATTAGTACAAGTTTGGACAATATTATTTGTATGTGGAATATTAAGTTGAACAGCAATACGTTCGACAGGTAAGAATGGAAATTTCAATGGTATTAGCAGACTTCCTCGATAATTTAACGTAGTCATTTCATAAATATCAATATGTACTGAATATTGTTTCATAAGACTTTTTGGTCGAATAGAATAAAATAAATAGACATTAAATTTAATATATTCATCTCGCATAGGTAAATAAGACAGTTGTTCATATGAATGAATAATTCGTTCGACACTATCATCAATTAATGAAATAACAAGTACAAATAATGTTTGTCGAGATTTTAAAGGTGCAATAATTTCCATGGTGAGACTAACACGTTGATTTTGATATTGACAACGATCACCATAATAAGTTGGTGGACAAAGACATGTTTTTGCTATTAAATTCTTGTCACTATCCAACAAAACTTGTAAAGAAAGACCACGATGACAACGATGTTCATATTCATTGATCATAGATAAATGTGTTATCATTTCATTTGGTTTCGATTTCTTTAATTGAACATCTTTTGATTTTGATTTAACAGTGTCGTAGAAATTTGTGTCCGAAATTTTTTTAGCCTTTAAATTACTTGAATATTTTCGAAAGAAGTCGGTCATGGTTGAGTTACAAAATTGTTCGTCGTCACCATTTTCGCAATGTTTTATCCCATCACAAACATATTGCAACGATAAGCACATATCAGAATCACCATTTTTGCAATAAAACTTTTTTGATTCCTTAAGACGATTCTTTACTGGACATAATGTTGGTTCATCGATACCACCTAAACAATGAATAATACCATCATTGGCTCTTTCAATAGGTAAACATATCAATTGATATGTATTCAATGAAACACATATATGATGATAAGGTGGACATTTGATTAATGGTGTTGGATCACAATCAACTTCATCAGCTCCATCAAGACAACTCCAAAAATTATCACATCGTGTATATGTATTATTGCATGGCCATTGTTCACAATTGGTTTCATCCGTTTGATTTTGTCCATTAATCATAATCGGTAAAAGATCAACTGAACTGTCGCAAATCGTTGAAAACGTAATTTGTCGTCTTTTTTTATTTAATTCTAGATCTTCATCATCGCACATACCATATTCATCTACTTTACAATCACAAATGTGATTTTCAACGTGATTTCGACGAATACATTTGTTGTCTGTTTGGCATTTGAAAAATATGTTGGTTTGATCTATCAAACAATATTCATCGATCGTACTTTGTTCTTCATCATCTTCATAATGACAATCTCGAATACCATCACCAATATAAGACTTTGGAATACATTTCGATGAATTTTTACATTGATACATAATAGAACTATCACAAATTAAACTATTATCTATCATTCGATTACAATGACTAAGTTGTGAGTATACTAGCTGGATATAATTCGAATACCAATCTGTTCCATTGAAGTAAATCCATATTGGAAAATCTTTCGGATGACGACATGTAGTTCCACGGAACAACAATAAGGTTACATTCGAATAAAATTCATCACATAATTGTTCATTATAACATATATATTGAGGTGGAATTTGTCCCATATCTTTCCAATTCACAACATACTCGATTGTATAAGCAAAGTAGATATGACCAAAGGCAATTGGAGCTGTTGGATAATAGAACATACTTGGACAAGTATTCTTTATAATTTCGATACATTTTTCATTTTGACAGAAATTCGAGCATAGTGAATTATTATCTGTTAGAATCTTAGAATGACATTTGAATGCCAAAAGACAATCATTACTTATGGTTGCATCTGATATATCGGAAAATATTGCTTGTACAATTTTTTCATTACGTTGATATCTACATGAACTTGTAAAAGGATGGATAAATTTGTTCATATAACGTTCGCGCCATGAACAAACAATATCTTCATTTGCAAATGTTGGTCCATGATATTCATTATAAGACGAACTCGATGATAATAAAAACTTATATTGATCAGACCGATCAAGACATTCGAAACTGACACCAATATTAACGAATCTTGGATGTATGCATTGACCATTATCACATCGATATTCACCATCTTCACATTTATTACCTATAAGTGGCCAACAATCTTTTTCATCAATTCCATCAGTACAATCGATTTTTCCATCACATATTTCGGTCCAATCGAGACATATCGATGTTGAACCACGATTACATTGTAAATGAGTATAACAGGTTAATGATTCTGGTGTATAAGCATGCTGACGATAGTGAATACGAATAAATTCATTTAATGTTAAATCAGTATTATAAAAATCTAGTTGATATTGACACTGTGGACCAAATGCTGGTAATGTACAATTGTAAAATGTTTCTCTTCCCATCTCTGATAATACATTTCCAATTGAAAGTTGATTCAGATACAGTTGATAACGTTCACTGATATCTATCGGTGCTGACCATTGATATAATTGTTCACTTGTAATATTTTGTCGACTGAGTTCAGCAAAAGTAAAGAGTGCATAAAAATTAGTCTTTACAATAGACCATTTCTGTGTCGATCCACTCATACAATAAGGTATGATATCACGAGACCATGGATCTTCGCTTAGATCAAAATAAAGACAATCATGCTGTTGAATAATATCATCGATATTTTCATTTATCTTATCAGTAAGATAAAGATTAATTTGAGGCAATGCAATCACCAAATGTAAGAAGAAGAAATAGATTAGATGTTTGATAAGCAACATTGAGTTTATATTGCTAACCATTCAACTTAAATGTATCTGAAATAGAACCTAGTAATCAATTATTTCTGTCTCTTTTAGATGGATGAAATCAAGAAAAAAAAATGTTTTTTTTGAACATACTACGTTAATAGGAACAAATAATGCTAAGCTACATATTAATATTATGAAATAGTTTTTGTTGTGTTTAGTCACATTATGTTTCCGTGTTTTGTTAATTACAAATATGTCATAGTATTTTAAATATCATTAATATTAATAGATATGTATGGTGAAAGTTTTTGTTTTTCTTCAAAATTATATACTGGTTAAATAAGATTTCAATTAAATAATCCATCGGTCCAGCAGAAAAATCAACTATGATTAATGTAAGTTTTCGGTTAACAAAAATGTTATTATGGGACAAAATTACTTCAAATTGAGATGTTTTTTTGATTTGAGTTTGTAACCAAGAACTATATCAATTATATATGAGAGAGTTTATCTAGAGATTGTGGGATTATATTACTTCACCTATTAAATATTTTCTTTTCTTTTAATATTTTCTGCACCTATCTTTTTACTAATCTTAGGTAATCAATCTTACTGCAAACGAGACAAATAATAAATCTAGGTTTGATGTCAACAATAAAAAAATTCAGTCAAACATAATGTGTGTTCGTGATGGATCAATTACAATTTATAATAAATTCAATCCCATAAACCAAAGTTTAGATTGTTATGAAAAATATCTGTTGATTCAGAAAAAAAAAATGATCATACAAATCATTTCCACTATACTACTTATCGAATAGTTCTATGTTATAATCTTAACTGTTTCATGAGCGTTCTAATATAGAATAATATCTGCTACTTTTTACTTGTAATAAAAATGAATATTAGCATAGAAATGAGGGTATGGGTTTAGAAAAAAATCAGGCTCGCAACCAGTGGTGCAGAATCTGCTGTAACAAACGAAAAATTTCCCCCACCGTGAAACTGAAAAAAAATCTCTTTTTTTTAAACATAGTTTTTAAAGAAACGAAGAAATAAACACGGCTCCTACACGTTCAAAATAATATTATCTAAAAAATAAATTAGTTCCATCAATCATTTACTAATTCTGGTAGTCACGGGAGTTGTTGATTCAGAAAACGACTTATAACAATAAAGTCAGAACACAGAAGTTTTCAGGATAGATATTGTTCATTTTTCCTATAAAATAACCAATTTTTTTCCTTCTTGTTTTTGAAATGATCATCTAATAAATCGTTGGTCTCCTTCTCCTTGTTCATCAGCATTAACAACATGTTTTGTTGTTGTTGTTGTTGTATCACGATTTATCTGTCTTTAAAAAAATTCCTTCATGTTGTTTTCAACAATTTTCAATCTGAATCTTTGACTAGGATGTTGTTTTCTGCAATGATCTTTTGTCTTGTCTTTACTAGGAGTGGGAAGTTACCGCTACCGCTCCCAGGTAACGGTAACGGGACCGTTACCAGTTACCTGGGTAACGGTAACGGATCCGTTATCAGTTACCCGGAAACTGGTGACGGTCCCGTTACCAGTTACCCGGGAACGGTAACGGGGAGTTACCAGTTCCCGGAGAACGGGGAAACGGGCCTATTATAAGGGGGTACCCTTGGATCCTCAAGTCCTATACTATGGGGGTATCCTTGGGTCCTCAAGTCCTACTATTGAGGGTACCCTTGTGTTCTCAAGCACAAATGCCAAAGTTGTATTTTTGCCGTGTTACACTGAGTAGGAGCCCATACATATACCCATCAATCGATAGAGCATCCTCGATAACCCAAAGGTCGGCCCGAACATGGCTATGTGCTGTCCTTACAATAAGAGAAAAAAAGGGCTCCTGGAATCTGATTGGTCTATTTTTGGACCAATCATATAGCAGGATCCTATTTCTCAGTGTTGGGATGGATGGGGACCCTACATATACCGATCAATCAATAGAGCATCCTCGATAATCCTGTGTTTGGCCCGAACATACCCATCGCTTTCCCTCACAATAAGGGAAAAAAATTTGAACCCCTCCGGGTTCCCCCAACAATAGGACTTGAGGAGCCAAGAGTAATCCACAATAATGGGACTTGAGGACCCAAGGGTATCCCCCAATAATAGGACTTCAGAACCCAATGGGTACCCCTATAGTATAGGACTTGAGGACCCAGGGCACCCCCAATGATAGGCCTTCAGGACCCAAGGGTATCTCCATAGTATAGGACTTGAGGACCTAAGGATACCCCCACAAAATAGGACTTGAGGACCCAAGGGTACCCTCATAGTATAGAACTTGAGAACCTAAGGGTATCCCCTTATAATAGGCCCGTTCCCCTGTAACTGATAGCTTTTTCCCTGGAAACCGTTACAGTTCTCAGGGAACGGTCTGGGAACGGTAACTTCCCACCCCTACCCACAATCTCATCCCACACCCTACACCACACAGTCACATCCACATACCCACACCAAGCCACACCCACACCCTTATCCGGATGCTCGATGGCTACAAAGTGGTGTCACTGTTGCTAGAGGAAATGGACAAGGTCAAGATTTGAATCAACTCAATTGACCACTCAGTTTGTTTGTCGATGATGAGCAAAGTGAGGGTGTAGGTGAGGTAGGGTTTAGGTCTCCCGTTAATTGATATCTACATGGGCACTCCAACCCACACCCACACCCACAACCACACCCACACCCACCCACACCCACACCCACACCCACACCCACCCACCCCCCCCACCCCCACCCCCCCCCACCCACCCACACCCACCCACACCCCACACCCACCCACACCCCACACCCCATCCACAACCTTGCCCAATGTACTCTGTATTTTGCTATCTTCTGCAAAAAAGTTGGTCAATAGAAGTTGTAGAACGATTATTTGCAAATAAGTATTAAATAGATGGTTTTATTTTCGCGAGCAGTAATTCTTTTTCCAGATACTGGAAAACATCCTAATGATACACACACAGGCATAAGAAAGACACAAAATAAGGAAATTAAAACAAAAAACAGAAAATAACACACATAAGCTGTAATGAACGTAGGTTTTTGTATGATTTAATTCCAAGTATATCTACATATAGAAAACCTTCTTTTGGCAGGCACTATTTACCATTGATATATTTATTCTCTATAGTATATCGCAATGCAAATTTAACATGATAATTTGGATAGAAGGTAGACTAGTTTAATAATAGTAAAAAAGTTACTTTTTACTTCCAAAAATTTTGATACAAACTTCAAATTCAAATACAGTTCTCTAAAACTATTTAGACAAAAGTTGAATCTATATTCACGAATCAAAGAAGAGCCAAGGCACATTATGGAAATTGAATCCTTTCCAAAGAGCAACTATCTACAGAGTAACTTGTTTACTTTACAGTAGACAGGGCACGATGCATATGTTAATTCTCTATATTCGTATTTAGTTGAAGATTTTTTTATGAAACAAAGTATTAGATCATTGGGAGAAGCTCGCGAAAGATAACTTTTGAAGAATGTCAATTCTATCAGTATGGACTGAATGATTGAAGACTTTAATTAAGAAAAGAAACTCTCCAGTCAAATACAGATATAAGGCGTTGACCTGTGCATCCTTTCCTACCTACTGAAAAACTGGCGAGTAGGTCAATATAAAACTGATCTATGAAAACGATTCGATTGTCGAATCTTAATTTGTGTTGTCTTGTATTCGTATGTATGGACTCGAGTTTTCTTAAAGTATTTTCGAAAAACAAACGTAAATATAGTGGACTATTGTAAGACTAACTCATGCTGTATTGAACTCTGTATGGTAAATTTTCATTTACATGCTCTATGAACAATGTATGTACTATCAATAAAAATTTCACTCATTCTGTTGTTCTTTCTTTTCTTACGAAAGATAATTTTCACTTTTTTTATCAACATAAGATATCTGAGTGTCGTTGGTGATAGAGAAGACCGCTGTTTGTGGTGCGCATACCCAGCAACAGAGAAAGCTGATTTCGAGACGACTGACGTCGCTGGAATAACACTATAACGCTTTATAAAAAGGAAAAAATTCCTACCAGCGTTCTATCAACACTGTTCTTGTTAAAAATATATTTGAATATAAATATTAATCTTCCCAAACATACGTAAGCTATTCAAAAAAACTGATCATTTTAATTTTCTATGATGGCTACAACAAAAAACAAATTAAACAAAATATCTGCAATACGATTCCCATAATAAATATGAATAAGACGTTCTCTATTGAGCAAATTGCAGAAGCAGTTTTAATGCGTTATAAAATCCATATTAAAAAAAAATGTCCATTACTTGAGAGAAAACAAATTTCTGTTTTTTTTTATTATAGCGCGCATATTGAAAAAATAGTGAACAAATGCGTTTGAAGAATTAACTATTGTTCATTCTCTTTTCAATGACCTTTAATGAGAACTAAACAGAGTACCTGAAGTGAGACTGTCTCGATGTATGCGTGAGAGAGAGACGAAGAGAGAGAGAGAGAAAAAAATAATAAACAACTATGATGAATCTTATCAATACTTGCATTGTACAACTTCTCATAGAAAGAGCAGAAATATTAGTTTATATGCGATCCATTGCAATCCTGAAAGCAACTGACGATAAAATATAAAAAAAACCATAATTCAAAAAAATTTTTGTTTCCTCTTCACAGAAAGCCACATAATAAATACTATGATAACCGTTTGAACTTGTTTACATCAGTTTCATTGTACATTATTCTCATCAAATTATATAGAGAAATGTCTAACCAGATACCTAATTTTTTAGCTAGTGCATGAGTTAGTTTCCCTTGATTACCTTTAGTTTGAATTGAATATTTTTTCACATTTTAAGAACAAAATTTCAGTAAATTATATGAAGAAACAACGAAATAGAAACCCGACGGATACATAATAAATAAGTATGAGAGTAGGTTGGAGTGTGCAAGTGTGCATTTGAACCCTAGAGTAGGAAACCATCGCACTTGTATCCCACACTCTACCCACATC